ACATTGTTTGGAATAGACACATTTAGTCCTCCTTAACTGCAAAATATTTCTCTGAACAAAATTGTCAGATTAGTTTTTATGGTTTCTCATATTTACACAGCAATTTTATCTTGAATTAAAAATGGCTCTTAAAATAGTTGGAAAATGCTCTCTGTAAAGAATATTTTCCAAGATTTTCTGCTCATTTTCAGATGAATATTCTGCAGCCTCTGCTTTTATTCTTCCTTTGTTGCCACAATGGAATCTATTAGTGCTTGTGGCTTGTGCTGGCTGTGGCATTTTTTGCAAATATGATCCTGCAACACCATTGTATAGGGAAAGGGTAGGCACTTATATGAGGTGTCATCAATTACTTACCAAGGTCACTGCATGCTGTGTTCTCTGGGAATCGTATTATGGGCACTCTTCACAGCCTGAAGGAAAAGGTACTGAATTATCCTATTCTTTTGCCAAACTAACATTCTGATTACTTTTGACCCAAGTTAATATTCAGTCTAAAAATGCCAAGAAGAGAGACAATTTCAATTTAAACTCTATTTAACCCAGTGCAAGAGAAAACCACTAAACCACCAACATACATTCGATAATAATTTAAGAAGGTTCAGTGATTTAAAAATTAGTGTAGTGTTGTGTACCAACATCATCATTATTTTTTGCTCTAAATTAAAAAAGCAAGGTGACTAGTACTAGGCCGAGAGGTAGCTAGACCAGGTTAAAAGAACCTGGTGTTCTCCTCCTATTGACCATTGAAAATGCTGTGGGGCTACAGGTGAGCTACAGAACAAGAGCAAGATCTGTGCCTGCATGCCACCCAATAACCTAGTGAACAAACAAACAAAGAGTTAAAAAAAATCCTACAGTGTGTAGCTTAACTGGTTGGTAGAAGAAAACTGTAGGAGAAAAGAGGACTATGGCAGCCAATGTCACACAGGATGGTTAAGGGATTATTAAAAGAATTGAAAAGGTTTCTGAAAAAAGAAGTGAAATACAGAATCCAGAGGTTTTCATCACTAAACAGACATATTGAATCTAGTCATTAGAGAAGGACATGTCTAAAGGATTCAAGTATCTTATCACCTCACCCACAGACAGACACGAGTAGGGAGCTGTAGTGCAAACTTGCAGAGCATTTTAAGCACCATGAACACTTATGGAAGGTGCTGCCTTTTGGAATATCAGGATAACTCAGTTTCAGACTTTGGTCCTACAGGAGTGACACTGAAGATGAGCTATAGTAATGACCTTTATGGAACTGATGGGCACCTTTAGAACAGGATTGGTTCTTAGTTTTGTCTGAGATGTGTCCCTGCAGCACTGCTCCTGCTGTAGGGCCATGAAAGGCATATTGATCAATTAAGAAGTGAGAATTTTCTTTTGACTCTCAGCCATGAAATGTATGATAGACTAAACTAATAAACCATCCTGGCTGACACTTGCACTTCCTGATACTGCAATACAATGCCACTGAAAAACACAGTATTTTGCTGCCAAAAAAGGGCAGTTTTGTGTTTAGCATATGTATGAAATGCAACCCAGCAAACTAAATGGTGTATGGGATTATCTTGTTCTTATGCCTTTAAGCACAATAGAAAATAATCACCAGGTCAGCTGACCAGTTCTTTCCAAATCTGCAAGAGTACACTTAATTTAAGTGCTGCACTTAAGACGTTGGTCAATATGGAACATGGACAAGTTAACATCAATGAAACCAAGGAAAATTTCTTCTCTGGAGCCTTTGAGTGCACCACTGAGTTCTGCTAATTCAAGTGAAAACATTCCAGTCAGTAGTGCTAAAAAGAAAAGGAAAACCAGAAATTCAAATCTGACTGATACATTCACTTATAGGAGGGAGGGAGGGAGGCAGGAAGGGAGGAAGGAAGGAAGGGAGGAAGGAAGGCAGGAAGGCAGGAAGGAGATGAAAGAACCACAACAAAAGCATACCACAGACAATAAGGAAGAAGTTCTTTGTGTTGCTGTTTGTTGTGGTGCATGAGACTTCCATTTAATTTCCTGAAATTTCCTTTCTCTGGAAGTCAAAATGTTAGGGAAATTATAGGCAGCTCCAGCTGGGGAACAAAGTTCTGCAAATGTGCAGAACATCTTGCAGCAGCTATAGAAGAGAGGATGGTGTCAGTCTACTTAGACTGAATCCAGAGACATGCCTTTTTTTTTTTTTTTTTGTTTTTTTTAAATTGATTTTGTCTTTCCATTATTCCTATCCAACAAAGGGGGGTTTGAGGGACCAAGAAATAATATAATGTATTAATATGGCTATTAGAGCGAGGCTTTTTATCTTCATTAACTTTGCCTATGGGTTTCATACACAAGAAGTCCAACAGGGCTGGAAAACAGGATCCATGCCTTTAAAAATCTAGCCCTACATCTTTATCCAACTGAATATACTTTGTGTGAAAGTAATGAGAAATAAGAGGCAATTCTGGAAAGCAGCTTCCAGCAGCTATGATATGACAGTCTTTCTGCTTAGTAGCCAGTTTGTCTAGAAAATGGTGTGATCTGAAAGGCCCTTCATTGTGGATCTGCTTAGTGTTTTGAATTAGTATTTGCTAAATGCAATGTATGACCCTTCTAATGCTGTGTTTGAAAGCACTGAAGAGAGTCATTTAAAAGAAACTATAATACTCTTTGCAGGCCTCATATTCTTTGCTATAGTCTGAACACTATAGCAATTATACAATTAGAGATAGCTCCAGTCCCTGTCAGACACAGTTTTATGTAAGAACAGCAATTGAGGGCAACTGAAAAAAAGAGAAAGAAACCCATTAAAGTTTAAAACTCGTGCTTTGGTGTTCCTAGTTCCTATTTTTCTCTAAATCATTTGGAAACCTACACCTTTGACCTCCTTTTAAAGAAATGGAATTAGGAATCTCCAGGCACTTTCCTCTTGGTTTGATTTCTGGAAGTTCTAAGAATACCAAAATATCTCAGAGAGACTTAAGAGAAAGGAGGTAGTGTTCAAGGAGAGTCACTGGTCAGATTCTCATTTATCAAGGAATAAGAAAGTTCTTACAAGAATGGATCAGATATGGCTTTATCTCCATAAAAGAGGAGGGATCCTGCAATAATTGCATTAGGGAGCATTGTATCTATTGCAGTAATTTCAAGGGACTCTTCATGGTTTGTCCTGGCTGCAGTCGGCAGGGGATGGTGTCACCAGAGGTTTCTGTGTCCCTGTGAGGTCCTGAAGAGTGGTTGGTCTCCATTCCTTCTCTCTGACCAGGTTACAAAACTGGTTCTACTCATTTAAGGATTCTCACTTTACAGACACATTTTAAGTGAAAGAGACACATCACAATCTATTTTTATGGTAAGCAACAAAAGGTGAGGTTTTTCTACTTTTCATTTACCTCTCACATGCATACATCCATCTGCTGTAGCATTTTGCAGGTTCTAGGTAACCAGAGCTTGATAAAGAGCCCTTAAAGAAAAAAATCCAATTTTTAAATGCAATTACTAGTTTTCAACCTCTTCCAACTCAGCCCATACCTCAAAATAACAGCTCCCTCAAAAGAACTCACTTGTATTAACTTATGCACATGACAGCAAAACTCTTTTGACATTAACATCAAATAGGCATGTTGTAATTTACTATCCATTTCATGAGGAAAAAAGCAAGTAATTTTAGCATTGCTTATATTCATATTAATGCTGATCCAACTAGAAGAGCAAGAGCTCTGGGATCACAAAGCAGGGTAGCTGCTCACCTAAATTTCACCTTCACCCCTAGCTATCCTTAGCTACGGGTGAAGGTGAAATTTAGGTGAGAGGCATGAAGACTTCAAAAATATTTCATACAGTAGTATGGTATACCATTCAGGAAGAAATCAAAATATTAGGTAAAAACACAAGTCTCTCACATTAAAACAGCCCTCTCCATTCCATAAGATAGGCAAAATGCCAATCAGTTTCTAAACCAGTATTTTATGTCACTTAACATTTACTTATATTTTACTTACACTTCTTCAAATAATTAATGATTTAAAATTCAGATGGAAAGATTTTGAAGATTAGTATACAGTTTTAAGAGGCATTTCTTAAAATGAAGACATTTTGCTAATAACATTGCACTGACCATTTTTAGACAGGTGTTACTAAACTGCTACAAAACTTTTTTTAAGGCTGATATAGGCAAGATTCTGACAGTTCTTAAAATCATGTCCCTGTGTTGGCATAAATATTAATTTCTTGCTGGCCTTTCTATACTCCCCAAATTCACTTATTTCTCAAAGGAGAAAGGCAACCTGATCTTCAAACAACTAAGATGGGGATTGTATCCTTTTGTATCACCAAAGGACCAGAGCTGCAAGGTCTAATTGTCTTTTGATATTTTCCTGGACAAATTTTTCAAGTCAAAACACACTGCAGCTTCAAAATATATCTGCATGCTAGTAAGCATGCAACTAGGAGACTGTGCTTGCACAGAGAATGCTTTGTTTATTTGCACCTCTCCATCTAGTCATTAGAAACCAGCACAGAAGAAGCAAGCAGCCCTGGCACAGATTTATCTGTAAGATTTTACATTTTTAAAAACCATTTCTGCGCTCCTGAGATTTTCGTTTTTCCCATGTGTTCTTCTGCAGCCCTAGGAAGGGCAGGTGAGCAAGCTGAGGACAGCTCTGAACGCCAGCAGGTCTAACCCCACGTTTCAGCAGGAGATTGCTGCATGTTCGAGGGCAGTTTTAAGGCAACTCGGAGTGTGACAGAACGTCAGTGCCGCGGGGTCTGAGAGGCGCCTGTGCGAGGCGATTCTGCTCCGATCCCGAAAAAGGGCAAAGTCACAGGGAGAATGGACAAATCCCCAGCCAAGGGGAGCTGTGTTTTACCTCCGTGAGGGGAGGCGAGGCGGACGGGGCCTCGCTGCGCAGGGCCGGCACCCGCAGCCCTCAGGAGCGGCGTGAGGGCTCCGGTCCGCGCAGTCCCTGGACAGCTCTTCCCCCTCAGGCTCGGCTGAGGGAGGAGGAGGAGGAGGAGGAGGAGGAGGCAGAGCGCGCCATGGCGAGGGCAGGCTGAGGAGGCTCCCGCTCCCTGAGCCGCTCCCGCCGCCGGCGGAGCTCGGCGGGGCGGGGAGGGGACGGGCAGCGCCGGGAGGCGGCACCGCGCTCCACCTGCCCCTCTCCGCCGCGGGCAGTGATGAGGCGGCCGCGGGCAGCGGCTGGCGCGGAGCAGCCGGAGTTTGTTCGCCACCCGTCCTCGTCTCCCTGATGCTCTGAGCCGGAGTCTCCTCCTCTCCCTGGGCTCGCACCCGGGCTGGATGCTCCGCTCGCTCCTCGCTTCCCTGCCACAGCCGCCGGCCGCTTCCCGCCGCCCCACAAGAAATGGAGCCGTCCGCTGCCCCCCTGGACACCACTCCGAACCCCGCCATCGTGCAGCCCCCCGGGGCCAACCCGCCGGGTGCCCCCCGGGAGCAGCAGCAGGAGCAGCTGCGGATCGGGGAGAGCGGGCAGTTCAGCGAGGGGCTGGAGGACAGAGGTGAGCGCCCGTCCGTCCGTCACCCGCCTTCCTGCACGCTGCCCTGCGCTGTGCCGAGCCCCACCACCTCCCCCGCGTCCCGAACGCCTGATACCCACCCCGACGGCTCCTCCGACACCCTCTCCGCAGCATCCTCTCGCTCGCTCTCCTGGACCCGTACCATCCCCATGCCGCCGCAGCATCCCTGCCCGCCCCCTTCCCTTCAGCCCCACACGGGTTCTTGCCCCCCGAGCTCCCCGCTCCAGCCCAGCTCGCCCACCCCTCATCCCGCCGCCGGCAGCCCGCTTAACATCCCCCCCGCGCCGCCCTCGAAGCTCTGCCCCGTTTTAGCTCCCGTGCGAGCGCTCCGCGACAGCTTTGAAGTATTTTTATAAACTCTATTCGTGGCTGTTCCCACCTCGCCAGAGAACTTGCCTGCCTGGCGGCGGAGCGGCTGCCGGCGGCACATGGCTCCACAGGCAGCGCGGGTGGCGGCGGCGCTGCCGGGGCTCCCGGGGCTTTGGGGCTTTCCTCGGGAGGCCGCTGAGCTGCCCAACCCGGCGGGGTGGTCGCTGCCGCCCCCCGAGCAGGGCATCAACGGGGCGTTTCTGGGGTTCCGCCCCAGCCGGGCTGGGGGTTGAAGTCGGGGCACTTGTCTCACACCTTGTGTCCCTTCCCCCACCGAGCTGTGCAGTTCCACACAACTCGTTTTTTGTTATTTACTTAAATACCTGAGCAGGGACGGAAAGCTGCCTGCTTCCAAACCGCGTTACGCTTTAGTGCGAAGCACGTCCATTTCGGACATCTGTTCAGGGCTCACTCACCTGCCGCCCACAAAGGCAGCTGCCATTTTAACCCTCCCCACTGCCCTGTCCTCCACAACACCTCCAGGCTCCTCTTCCACACAATTTGTCTCCATCTTTTAATTTCGTCTATTGGCTTCCCTTAGCCTCTCTCTCTGTTGCCTTTTTCTTCCTTTTCCATTTTGCTTTCAGCATCCAGGAGTCCCTTTTGTGTTCTCAGTCTTCATCCATAGCCCCTTTACACGTAACCCCCCTCTATGTCCTGTTCTTTGCCCAGCTTTGCTCACAAATCGTAGACACAAAGTAGAGGAGCCAGGGGAAGAGCATTCACCACCTTCCTGACAGCTTCCAGTCATGTCAGGGCTGGGGACGGCCCTTACTCGAGGGGTACCCTCACTGTCACTGCCAGTGGCTGAGGACAGACATTGTGCCTGCCTCAGGGCACTCTGAAGCTTCAGCTCTCTTTAAATTAGGGAGGAATTTTGATTATAGTTCGAACATGGAAGTTTGGCTACAGAAAATTTTAATTAGTGCCCAGTATGACAGAGGCAAAGGTGAAAGCTGTCCCTTTTGGTATTAAGGGTAATTCCATAAAGATAGTAGTGTGTGTTGTATCTAACCTACCTCTTTCTATGAGGGAGATGAAACTAAAGCTGCTGATTTAATTTTCTTCCTTGCCTCCATGCTCTTTCTATGACCCTTGCAGTACCTTTCTTTTAGCTTTTCCTGTAGTTACCGATTCCAAGTATACCAGGATAATTCCCAATCATTGTAGAGGGAAATCTGGTATGCTTTTTGCAGGTTGTCCCTGTTGAAAATGTTAACAATCTGTCCTTTTAGATTGTACTTTTTCCTACAATCCTTTCCAATGAATCATACCAGAAACAGATATAGAGATGCTTCCATGCTTGCTAAAAATAAATACTAATCCTAAATTTTGGAACTAGATCTTTGCTCTTTAAGAGCCAGATCCAAAATCGGTGATAATTTTGTGGATGGGACCCTTAAATTAACATCCTTAGGTGAACAGGTTTTTTATTAGCCTTATCTCTTCCACAATTTCTAACTTGACATTTTAAAATGATCCCTTAGCCAAACAGAAAAGTACTTCTGGTAAGTCAGCATATGGTAAAGAATATCCTAGAATCACTTCACAAATATGCCAAGCTTGTGTTCTGCAACTGTTAGGCAGGTTTTTTTCTCCTTCTGATTTTTTATGGGAAGAAAATCTGTTAATATGTGAAGATGCTGAAAGATAAATTAAAAATCCAGTGAATTTAATCAGTTCACCATCTTTTCCATACCTTAAGGATATCCATGTGTTAAATAAATTATTGGCAATAAAATTACTCAGTATGTTAATTTCAGGGCGGAGGAATTTTGTTTGTAGATGCTAGCTTTTTATTTTTGTAGCGGTGCAGGTCATATTGAAAGATTAACTTTCATCCTCCTGTGGATGCTTGCTTTCTTATGGTCAGTGAAGAAATATGGAAGTTTTCCTTGTGAATTTTTTTCTTTGTGTGTAGATTAATGAGCTGTTGTTGCCTCTAAATAATTTTTATTCTGTGGGTTTGGTAGTCATGTGAATGAGTTTGTACCTTTCTGTGCTGGCCTCAGGACACTCGTAAGAATTAAATGATCTTTCTTGGGGATGAAAATTTTAAACACAGAAAATGTATTTGAATTATTTCAGGAAGGAAGGGATCACATCGCTGACAGCCAGAATATGCCAGCCATTTTGAGAGACAGAGAAACACACACACACACACACACACACACACACACACACACACACACACACGGCAGAAGTGGTTGAGTTTTATAAAGACTGCAGTCTCTGTCATACTGGACACGTGCTTGACATGTGAATAGTAATCAGGAGTCTTGCACTAGCTCTGGGGCTTATTATTCATTCCTCAGTTTAATTAGGGTATTGTTTGATTTGTTAGTATCAACTATGGATGTTGGACTTCCCAGGTAATATGAGCTGTAGCCATGAATTAAAGGATGCCTTAAAAGAAAGAAACAGGTGAGGATATCTGTCATTCTGATCTGTGTTCATTTGAGGTTTGAAATATTGAGAGTCAAAATTGGCTGAAAAAACCTTTGCTTTATGTTCCAAAAAGATTTGGACCATAATTTGAAATCCTTGGTTTGGGGAGGGGACAGGAGGGGTGAATACACAAAATGTGAGAAGATGTATTTTCTCTATGGTTAGATTAGTAGAAATCCCTCCTATGTTTCAAGATGTGTTGTTGAATTACCTCATAGCAGACAGCAATTAAACTGTACATTGTTATATATAGTAGCAGAAGATAGGCCAAACATTTGTGGGGGGAAAAAAAAAATAAAAATCTTTGCACAAATGAAAGCAGGCATGTGAGAAATGGCTGTGCAATCAGTAAAAGACTCAAAGCTTTTGGAGTTGTCATCTATCAGTTTTTTTGTATTAGACAGACAAAGAATGGAGGTAATAAGAAATGGACATAATTTCAGTATAGGGACGGGTCCATGCAAGTTTGTATATTCTTTTCCATTCATAAAGGGGGGAGTGTGTGGCATAAAGTGTGATAATGTTTTATATTTTCTAAAAATACAGTACAAGCATGAAATTCTCAGAGTGGCTTTCTGAACTCCCATAAAGAAACTCCCCATGCTTTATTGTAATTGAGGTGTAAAAAGCATAAAGAATTTTTCCAAGACAGCATGTATCCCACCATTATGCTAGGATTACAATCAGTAATTTTAACAGTGGCAGAATAAAATCTGATGGCTCAAATTTGACCCCCCCTATATGCCTGCCCCTCTGCTGACATATTGCTGTCCCCAAGGCAGATATGTCTGATTCAGTTCCGAATTGATTCCAAAACCATTGCAGTTTTCAGCCAGTATATTACAGTCAGTTGAAATGAATATCTTTAAATGTTAATAAACTTGGTTAAACATGGTGTGGATTCAGGAGTACGCTGTGTCCCTGCCTTGAAAGTGGCAATAACCACGAGAGAGAAAACTGAGGAAGGTGAGGATAGTACCAGCTTCAACTCTTATGTTTTAATCTGATGCTGAGTCTGACACAGCCCCTGTTCTCCACCCTTTGTCTGAGACCTGAGAACAGCTACAGAAAGTCGTTCTGTTGAACCAGTGTCTCAGTTCAATGCATTCAGTGCAGGCAAATCTCTCTGATAAGTGCTCATCATCTGAGAGGAACCACCCACATCTTCTGGAGTAACTCATTAAGAAATTTTAAGCCATCAGGTTTTCTCTCCAGTAAAGCAGATTTGAGCTGAAACATAATGGTGAGAAAGAATGTATGTTTCAAATTACATGAATGTATTAAGCATAAACTAATCAGAATGGGATATACAGAATGCAAATATGTAAAATTCTGAATGCATTTTAGAAGTGGCTTAAGACTCAGATTGAGAGAATAAAAACCAAAGAATGTTAATTTATGTTTAAGCTGCATTCTCTGTGATGTAAGACCAGTAGACAAAAGACTTCCACAGACTGAAAGCATCAAAAAAGAGAAAAAGCAATAGCATTCCCTTGTGTTCAACAGCATTCTGCACTGATTGCAGCAAGGACATAATTGGTTCTTCAGTTAGTTCTAGATGGGAATGGGTTCTTACCCCAAATGAAGGACAAGGTGCTTCAAGAGGCTTTTTCAGCAGTGACAGCTTTGATTCTGGGGCATGGCCACTTGTGCTTTGATGATCAATATGTGCCGTGTATCCCTGTGCCTTGGGGGGCCATTCCACAGGGACTGGTGAGCAGGAGTTTTCTCCTATGTTAATTAGCCCCAGGATCCTCAAGTTCTGAAACAAGTTTTGATCTGAGGGAGTATAGGACCGAACCATTTCTTGTGCAGAGGTACAGGTGGAAATCATATTGATTGTGAATTTCCATAACTGGAACGCAGTGCTTTTTTTAAGGGATTGATGTGTGGGTCTTTCTGTGTGGAGTCAAAACAGCTTGAGTGTGTTCTTCATGCTTACTCACATGTTTCTGGTAGCCTCATTCACTTAATCTTAATAATGTGAGCAGGGTTTGATTCTGTTTTGCTTTTGTGTGTAATATACAATGTAAATGTATGTTGTAGGGCTGAACTAACACAGCTGTGTTTTTAAGAGGAGCAATGCATTGTTCATACATTCTCTGCTTATTGCTTATCAGGTTTACTAGAAAGCAGTACAAGGCTAAAACCTCATGAAGCTCAAAGCTACAGAAAGAAGGCATTGTGGGTTTCCTGGGTCTCCATTATTGTCACACTGGCTCTTGCAGTGGCTGCTTTCAGTGAGTATTGGGAATATTTTAAATTTCACACCTCTTCTTTTTTTGTTTTTATTTTGGTCTCTTTCTTTCTTTGTGGAATCTTTCTCATGTTTTGTTTTTTTTTTTTTTTTTCTTTGCAACTGCTAAAGAGGTTTTTCTCCAGACTGCCTGTGTCTGCATGGTGCTTATAAATTAGTAAAACTGTTGGGTTTTTTTTCTGCAGAGTATAGGGTTGTTGAAGGTCGGAGAAAGAAACAGGAGATGTTGATTCCTGCTAGCATTTATATGTGTGGAACTGTTCATTTTGGAGAATAGTGTAAAAATCATTATGCAGTGGGTTGCCTTTTACTGAAGAGGTCAAATATGACAAATCTTATTCTGTTTGGAATTTTTAGTGGGAATGCTATAATAAAGAACAGTGAATTTTAAGGGAGAAATATATAATTTATCTGTAGTACACTGACAGATAACCTAAGACAGTGCTAATCTGGAGGAGAAATTCAATTTTCTTTTTAGAACAGTGTTTTTCTATAAGTTTCATGACATTTTTCAAATTTACCTTTAAACAAAGGATTTGAGTGAGGAAAAAAATCCAAACTAAACCCAAACCACTTTCATATGAGAAAAAATGAAATCTATTTTTTAAAATTTCAAAACAGGAAAAAAATGCATCATTGTGTAAATACAAATTTTAGTTCAATGCGAATTTGAGGTATACAAGCTTTTTATCTTGGGCAATGAAGTACCACATGAAAGACAAAAAGAAACATGGAATGTGGAATAAAATCTTTTCATGGGCACATTCTCTGTTTTAGAGAGGGGAAAAATCAGAAGTCATTGAATTTATGCTTTAATACAAATAAAAGGAAGGCTCTGTCTTGGAGACATCAAAGAAGTCTCAAAACATCATTCTTAAGCTTGATAGAGACAGACTTGTGTTGTTTTTCTTTTTCTTTTTCTTTTTTCTTTCTTTTTTTTTTTTTTTTTGGATCACAGCAGCATGTCTTTTGTTATTCTAATCTGCATTGTATGACCTGCTGCTGGAAGTTGGTGTCAGCTCCCAGGAGAGGTGATTAAAATCTGACCAAATGGTCTCTGAAAACTCAACATATATTACTCAGAGCAATTTATATGGAAACACAGGTACAACAACTTGGTTCAGAAATAAGAAAAAAGAGGAGGAACACTTAGAAGCAGAATCTGACACTGTAAAGAATCTGAATGTTAACAAGAGAGTGAAACAAGTTTCCATTTTGTTCTGCTTCATGGAAATGCAGTGGTCTGTTTTTGCTACTGAAGCAACATAAAGGTAAATACTATGTTACAGAATAACCCGGTTACCTCTAAACACTGTATTTTTAAGGAATATTGTGATATGGCTTAATTTTATTTTTCATTTTCATTTGGCAGCGTTGCAAGAATTAAATGTAATATAGATAACTAAAACTCTATCTTTTAAAAGGATCCTTTAAAACATTTTTTAATATTATTTGGGCTGAATTCTTCTTTTCTTTTCCTTGTTTTTCGGCACTCTGGTAGTGTTTAGAGAAACAAACAACAGCAAAGAATGTAGTGCCTGTCTGGATATTCTGTGGCTGCATATTCAGCTAGAAGGGATAGGTGCTGAACTACTGAAATCAGAGCAGACTAATTATATGTTTTTGGAATGTATCTGTCCCCATGGTTTGCTGAGGCTAAATTTATGAAGAATAAGAGAGGAATCAGCACACAGATTCATATTAAATCTGTAGTTGGCAGTTAACTTACATGCCACAAAAGCCTTGCCAGGGCTTTTCATGTGTTTATTATTAATGTTTTTCAATCTTTGAGGAAAATACACTGACTTCTGAGATCACTTTGTTGTCCCCATGCAATTTCAGAAGTTCTGCTCATTTTACTGCCTCGCACTGGCTGCTCTCTTCCTCAGTGCTGTCCTTTTAGCAGGTTCCTCCAGCCAATCCGTGAGCTGGGAGAGATGCCAGGTGACCAGAATTTGCTGCCTGTTTGATAGAAATGTTTAATTGTCACTTTGGGGTATCTGACACTGACAGTTTAGCAATAGCAAATAACTGCTATTTAAAGCATCCTCTTTCCATTTTACCTCCTATCTGTAGTGGTGAAGTGTTGGAAATACAGCCCTGATGTTCCATTTCAGTAAAAACCAGGGACCTGTTCTGGTTATTGTCAGGCTGCACTGACAATTTTCCCTGCTCTTCCTTACTCCTCTAGAAATTCCTCATTTAAATTCCTGTTTTATCCTCTTCAAAATGCTTTCTTGCAAGTGTATGCCACATGTTATAGTCAAGATACTATGCCAGGGAACCGATGTTATCTGATAACTATAGGAAAAATACTAAAGGGAGAATAGGGAAGAGGTTCAGGAGCCTCCTTTTCCAATCAAGTGTTTGTAAGTAGACTTCTTTCCCTTTTTATGGGAAAGAAGGCTGGTCTAGTTGCCTCCAACACTGTATTTTTCCAGCATTAGAGTAAGTTGTAATGGTTTATCTTGACTGGTAAGAGGTGTTTTCTTTTGGTGGGATTATGATGCTGCCCTAGCTGAACTCTGATCTTTCACTTGGTAATTTTGAAGGAGACTGAAAAATCTCATGTTGATCTGAATACATAAAGCAGTTTCCTTATTAAGTAATGTTTATGGCAAATGAGGTTTGACATCATGGAATCATAGAATTTTAAGGTTGGAAAATACCTCTAAGGTCATCAAGTCCAACTGTTAACCCAGGACTGCCACGTTCATGGCTAAACAGTGTCCCCAAGTGCCACATCCACACGTTTTTTGAAAACTTCCAGAGGTGATGATTCCACCGCTTCCTTGTGCAGCCTTTCCCAGTGCCTGGCCACCCTTTCAGAGAAAGCTGAAAGCTGGGTATGGAGCAGAATGACTGCTTAAGGCAAAATGAAGTTGTCACCTTTTGTTCACTAGTATTGACAAGTAGGACTTAGACCATGAAATCAGCTTTTCCACTTAGCTGAAAGAACAGATCTCTTACTGTCAATCACTTAATAAACTTAATTTTACTGCAGAAATGCTGTACTTGTAAAGGACCATTTGGATGCTGTCTCTGATGCTGCTCCTGCACTCTGTGGTAACCACTGTGGTCTCATGGCTCCGAGAGCTGTTGCAGATGTTGCTCTCCAGCATGAAATTGCACACGGCTTCAGTAAAATCTCTGTAGACTTAAATGTGTGAGATCCTTGAGGTGAGAGGAGCCCCATGTATCATCTTTAGTGGCTGAAAATTTGGTGCTCTCAAAATATTCTGGCACTGTTGTTTTGTGCAGTACTTTCATGATCAAATGCGAATCAATGCCTGGTCAATAAATTAATTTTGCTCTTCATTTCAGGGCTGCCTGAAATATGCATACTTGTAGAATTCTCATCAAGAGTGGATTTACTTTGTTATAAATATATAGCAATAAGCAGAGTCTGAGCATGATAAAAGTTATTAAAATGAACTTTAAATTATTCCTTAGCACCCCAAGTAAGTGCTAGAATAATAATTCTAATATAATTATTTCTGGATTACAGTAATGTAAGAAAAGAATGATAACAGAGAAAAGAATGATAACAGAATAAGAACATATTTTTTTTGCAGTGTATATCTATGTAGGATAAGGCTGCAGTCATTTCATAATGACAGCTGTTATTTCTTTCTGTACCTGCAGTATTATGTGTTCATACTGAGCCTAGTTTAAGAATCACAATAGAGAGCAGGTGGAATAGAACTCTGGTGTTTTGAAACCCATTATTCTTAGTTTCTTGACATTTATGTTACTAAAGCATAATTTTGAAAAATATACAAATATAGCTTCTGCTGTTGCAGTTCAGTTTCTGCTCAGGCAGCTAATCTCTGATAATATTGTCAAAGCAGAAAACAATCTTGTTCTGTCTGGTGTTTTTTCGTCCAGTATAGACTTGTGATTCACAGAAAGCAGAATGTTCATTCATCTTCCTGATCTGATCAGCCAAAATTGTTTCACAGTGAATGGAGGAGTCCTAGCACTGCATCAAAACAATGTACAGACCAAATCCTGCACTGAAGCTTTTCTTTGTAGCTGAAGACTGAGAGAAGGTTTAGAATGTATAGGTTTGTAAATGTGAGCTTTGTGAAGGCTGCAACCAGGCTGTCCCAGCGTGCCCAGGGCAGGTGTACACTGGTCACTGAGAGAGTGGAGGGGCTGTTTGCAGAGTGCTGGGAAATGGCAGTGGGTGCTCACATCTGTCCCCAGGGCTGCTCTGGAGATCCCCCCTTTCAGCTCACCACAGGTAAAGTTCAGCTGCACAGCAATAAACGAGTGCAGCAAAAAGTCTCATCCTGGTGTTTAGTCTGGTGTAGTAAGAGGTGCTGGTGTTTTGAGAAGGTGAATTCCATTTATATGTATCAAATCTCAAGTGGAAACTGAGTAGGTAGAATTCTGTGAGTGTGGGAGTATTTTACAGGATTAGCTGTTGGCCCATGGATAAGATGTTGAATGTAAATGCAGACACTGACGTTCTGATTTTATATTAAAAAATTATTTGTGTTTCAGAAAGAATTGCTGAAAAATGATTTATCACAGTGAGCTCCCACATACTGGGAGGCATTTTGTTTGAAATATATGGTGCAAGTGCTTACAAATTTCAGGGTAGGTTTTGCTTTCAGATTAATGCTTTATGCTAATTCAGATTCTAACAATTATAAATGCCAACAAACATAGAAGTTGTGTATCCAGGCCCACTTTTTTCATTGGAATAACTGCATTGAGTCATAAAGTCTCATGTGGGTTAGCTATAGGACATGACTGCTGTTTTTTCTCTATTCAGGTGCATGCAATTGAAATTACATGGGACAAACATTGAGCAATTGAAGTTGCTGTCCTGTGAATGCTCACATGTGGGTGTACTGATGTAATCTGTCACTCCTCATCTTAGACAACCGAGATGGGGAGCGACTATATTAATTTACTGATGAATATATCATTTTCTCTGTGGCCCATTCCTATTCATGCTTGAAAAATTAAATA